AAAAAAAACGAGTATATTGCTCTTAAAGATGTTTCTTTATCAATCTGTTAAATTTGATCAATCAGAAACTACCATTTTCAGTAATTAAATTCTTTCCATCGTACTTTATATTTAAAAATCTAATAAGATATTCATATCTTCCATATCCACTATCATATTCGCCAATCAAATCGATCGATTTTTCAATCTACTCGAAATTTCTTTCGATATAGCAACGTTTCGCAAACAATCGATCGAAAAAACAATTTTCACCTGTAAACACGTGAGTGACGATACATCGTCACTAACCTAATTCGCGAGTGTAAAACTCTTTAGGGGGACAGAGGCAGCGTGGTACATATTGTGTGTCGCGTTACGCGTTCATATGTGTTTGCCTTGTCGAGGAAGCAATCAGTTCCATCTACTGGCAACGTTTACATGGATCGTTTACAGCCCTCTTGTGTAGCTTTTGGCGTGCCAGGTATTCCGATACTCATGCAGATATCCTACGAACGTTACGTTATACATATATATATGCGTGACTATCGTTGCGAATTTCAAGCCGCCGTTTCTACGTTGTTCTGTTTCAGACTCAACTTATCTCGAAGCTATCATTCTTCACGTATTGCAAATAATTAATAGCAATATGTAATCGATTACGTAAAATAAAAAAGAGAATGTGTTGCAAAATATATATATATATATAAATATTTAGAAAATATAAGTTCGATATTTCTAGTAAATTAAACCATGGATGAACAGAGAAATTTATAAAAATTTAGAAGCAAATAGGTGTTTTACTTTTGTTTGGATTATTAAGAATATACGTATGTGCAATCTCTTAAACAGGAAATTAAATAGAGTGGGCTATCAATCTTTCATTATCAAATGAAATAGAAAATACTTTCTATTTTTTAACAATAAAATATTAATTCTGATTTCTTCAGTCAGAATTATTCATACAAATTTTTTTGAAATATTATTTTCACATTAATTCTCTTCTATTACATTTGATCCAATCTTGAAAAACGTTAAAGTCTTTCTTAAAACATCTTTCTTCTGTTCCTTGGAATAAAAATTCAAAAATCACAGGAGGGGGAGGAATTAATGTTGATCGAATCGAAGGAGAGAAGAAAAATTGAAAGGAATAATTTAATAGACATTCACTTTTCGAAAACAATCTTTCTTTTTTCCTCCCCAACGCTTGTCTCCAGTATGAAAATGCGTTGGCACGTGTTAATATTTATAACCGTACTGTGAAATCGGTGCCGCGCGCAGATATACAGCTGATCTTGAATTCTTTTGGCAAAAGTGCCCCAGGAGAAATGCAAATTTCACATAGCGACCTCGGACACACTCGGCCAGAATCGTGAACAACTCAAACTGAAACTCAAATATATCTCGAAACAGAAAGCTGTTTTACACATTGTACGAAACACGAAGCCGCAAGTTGCAGTCACAATGAAAATTTTCCTCATGGATTTTATCCATGCGAAGTAGTCCACCATTTGGTGGAAAAAGAAAGAGGAAAGTATAAATTTGTTAACAAATTTTTGAATAATTTGGATTTGTGTAATTTAAAGAATTATAATTATAATAATAAGTATTGCAATAAATTACAATGTTATTTGTATTACTTACTCAATTAGATTTTCATCTCAAATATTTGTCTATTTACATAGAACTTTACCTGAAACAGAAAAAGAAATAAAAATTAAATGTATATTTTTATATTTATATTCGATACTTATTTTTATTTATATATTTGAAAATTCTTTAAAAATAACATTGTACCAAAACTACAAGAATTATAAAATCATATTTTAGAATAATTCATAGTACCTTAAACTTATTCTTCACCAATAAAGAAATAAAATTCCATCTACTCTTTTCTTAAAACTACATAATCAACATCAAACCTTTTATAAATATAACCCAGAATTACACCGAAAAGAATTCCACAAATATCCAAATTACAAATTCCAAACGTGCCTCCACTCAATGTATCCCAATTTTTTCGAATACAATTTCTCGAACATCTATATCAAATAATATATCCCAAAATCGAAAGCAAAAGAGAGCGGCACAAATTTTCCAATTACATACAAATACCGACATCCATTTAATACAGCCGCCGCGTTACATTTTCCTTCCTTTCCTTTCCGTCAGAAGAGATTCTAAAGTGTGCTCAATTACCATATCGTTCTGCTCGATTTACCGTGCAATTACAACTCGCTCACAAAATCCTGGTAGCGATCGTCGAAGTGAGGGGGAGAAAATCCCAGCGGGATTTCACAATGCGCGCAGGATGCGCTCGAGAAGGAGGAGGAGGAGGAGGAGGAGGAGTCTCGTCTCTCCTCACCGGCTTCGCATTCAATTTCCTTCTTTGGCAGGAGTTTACAGAGCCGGCCGCGTTATGTCGAGCATATTAATAGGCTAGCCCTGTGCACATGCTAACCACGTAGAGGAAGGACGACGTAGCGCCGCCGCTAAATACTCTCGTATACATGAACGGGCGGCGGCGTCTACGGGTTGGGGGTCGGCGTCGAGCCGCCGCCAACGCTTTGCTACGCCATTTAATTACGCGGTATAGGAAGGAGCGTAACTCGGGCAATAATAACATTTTTTAAACCGTGGAATGGATTATTTAACGTCTCGCGAGGTGGATTTATCGTGTGGCCGGGCGAGATTTAATTATTTCTTTATTTCTCTTTCTTTGTAATTTGCGAATGTAATTTATTTTATCGAGCAAATTCTTGCGTTGAACTTTCTTTTTTTTCCCCGGATATACGATTTATTTGATGTACGTGGGGAGACGACGAGTTGGCGAGAGGATTTCGTGCGATAATGTTTATTTGGCGAGGGAAATATGATTTATTTTTCGGACGAGAGTCAAAGATTTTTTTCTTTTTTTTTTTTTTTTTTTTTTGTTCTTCTTTTCGAGAGATATATTCTTCATTCTTGACGAAAGGATTTTATGCGATTAACTGATGCGTTTGTTCGTTAACGATGCAAGTGTTTTTCTTAGGATGAAACAGTTTATGGACGTTTCGTAATGTTTTCTCCCTGTTTTCTCTTTTTGTATTTTGTTCGTGCTTCTTCCTTGTCTTTTTTGCTCGCGACGTCTATTTTAGAAGGAACTTCAACTTCACTTGTCTGTCCACCTTTGTTTTGGGAACGAAATGCTTATTGAGTTGTTGGAAAAATTCAAAGACAATTTAATAATGTATGCACCGTTTGTTTCGGCGACTTTTATCTATTTATTGGAAATTTTTGTCCTGTTTCCTTTGCGAATTTTACTTGGAATCTTTTCACGAATTTTTATGCATAGTCTTTCCAGTGTACGTTTACCTTCCTAATTAAAAATTACAAAATTTTTACAATATCACAATTCGACAAGAATTTTCAAAACACATATAATAGAAATTAATACGTGTCTATAATAATTAATAGTTAAAAATATTAAAAGTGAAATCTTTATTATTCATGCTCCGCAACTATCAAGAAAAATTGCAAAAACTTATGCAAAGAGACGCAGTAACAAAAACTGTTAACCGCTGAGTAAAATTTGAATACATCGCAGGAGGTATTTCGACGATGAAATTGCTGACTATGAATATGCACATCTGCAAAGTATTTTACAATTAATATTTTTGCACCAGTGAGAACTCTTAGTGGTTCAAGCTTGAAAATTACATTTTACCTAAGTGCGACTTTTGCTTTAAATTTTCTTACCGCAAATATTGTTCCAACAATTTCTACACCTTAAACATCCTTCCAACATCATTTCTTCTTATTCTCATCTCGAACATTGATATCTCTTAAATCCTATTTACACCCTGCACATACTTTTCTAAAGATAGAGAGATATCTATCCAAAAATTAACCCATTAAACCGTAAAATTTCTCGAATAAATAAAACCCATAAACACCTATACGAGAATTTAAAAAATTCGAAAACGGATAAAATTCATAAAAAAAAAAACGACCATCATTCATCCTACACGATTCCCCGTCAAAAAAAAAAATTCCAAAAATTTCCAACGCCGCGTGGCAACACTTGGTACACAGATATCGAATAAAAAAAAAGGATGGAAAAAGAAAAAAACATTTTCGCATCGAACACAGGGGGCAAACGATCAACGATCCGCCACGCTCCTTCCTTTTAAGCGAACGCGCTTACGAGTCAATGGGTCAATCGAGCGATGATCGAGCCGGTTGTAACATCATCCGCAACGTTGCACGCGTTAGAAACGCGTGGCGGCTTCGGGATGCTTGCATGCGTTGCTGCACCCGGCTGCGGATGTGCATTCATCGCGTGCATTATTGCCGCGTGGGTGGGGACACGGGCTATGAATAGAGGGCAAGTTTAAGGCTACGATGGAGCGAGTGTTGACGCGCTACGCTGCCTCCTCGCCTCGACAGATTTACGCGCAAATGCTCCCTTCATAGTTGCACAGAGTGTGAGAAAGCCCTCGGTTTTCCACGCTTAGGTTCAACCTAAAAGAGGGAAACTTTTGACACGAGCAAAAGTTCGCTTTTGAAAAATTAGACGCGTATTTGGTCGAGTAATATCCGACAGATTTTTCGATGATTGAAATTGAGATTGAAATTCGTGTATTTATTTTAAGTAATCGTGGTAAAGTTTGAGAAAAAATAATAATAATAAATAAATAATAACAATAAAAAAAGTTTGAGAAAATGGCGTCGAGAGTAATTTGTTTAATTTGAGAGTGTTAGAGAATTGTTGTTCCGTTTAAAATTTTCTGATAAATTTCTTAAATTCTTGAAGGACGGTATTTCCAATTTTGTTGAAAAATTTATGAAAATATTCGAAGCAAGAAGTTTAAAGAAAGGCACGAGAAATTGTATACTTAGTTTAATGGAAGTGTTAATCTGTTAATCGATATCTCATCTCTTTAAAATTCAGTACTGTCTGAAGACAAGCTTGCTTCGTTTACCTTCCAGTTCATCCCATTGAAGTTTCTATACGTTTTTTTTTTTTTTTCGAACGGAAACAGGTGATACGAAAAGATTAGTAGAGCCAGGCACTCGATCAGGAAGATGGATCGATCAAATAAAAAAAGCTATAAAAGAAGCAAAGCTGTTACTTGTAAGCTCGCTTTGAAGCAAATGGTTCATCCAAAAAACGATAGCTTTTTATCATAATCTTCCCTGAATCTCTATTCTGCACTGGTAATAATATTATTAATAAATAATTCTTTATTATCTCTTTGGAAGAATTTTTTCAGAATTTTTTCTTAAGTAAAAAAAAAAATTTAAAGTGAATAAATCGAACATAAAAATATGAATAAATTGTGAGAAAATCCTTTATGAAAAATATACAATTTTTCATAAATCTGAAAGAAGAATTAAATTAACGTTGCGAGAGATCTTTAAAATTTACATTTGCAAATAAAAATTATTGTATTATTTAAACAATGGAAAAACGTCAATCAAAATTTTGTAAAACTGTTCAGAATTTTAAAAAACTTAATATCATATATTTTTTATTCAAGTATTATATTTTATCAGATATATATTATTAAGATTATTACTTATTAGAAATTTGAAATTTCAGGGAAAGAAAGATTTGTACGGTGTTAAGGAGAAGCAATACGAGGAAAGAGATAAGTGTTAGACAGTAATGTCTCTGTGGTAGCAGAATGTCAGGAACGTGCCATAGGTTTCGGAGACGCTGAAGCGAACAACTTTGTCCCCACAGGTCCAGCTTGTTAATAGCGATCCATCGAGCTTTCCATGGGGGTTGTTTGAAACTTTAACTAGTTTCTACTTGCTCGTAGTCGAAGCTGCAACCATATGAGGTGAGATTCGATTCCGTCAAACGTTCCTTCCTTCAAAACACTGGGGAGAAATCTTCGATGAATTTTCCTTTTTTAGAGTTAACCATATCTCTTTATAAATTGATAGATTTATATAAATCCTATATAAATGATGCGTGTGATTACATTTGAGACCAGAGATAAACGAATATTCATAAATAAATAACAAATATCCATAAATAAATAAATAATTATACGAATATGCATTACAGATTGCATATCATTAATTTACGATGAGATTATTTCGAGCTCTATTTATTTATTATTCGAGGTGATGAAAAACATTTGGTTTCTGTATCTGTTCCATTTGAAAATGTTAATCTTCGCTCGAATAAATATTCCATCGATATCTTTTTCTAAAAAAGATATGATTAATTATAATATTTGCTTTGAATTTTAATTATTTACATAAATTTAAAATAGTTAAAATATTTTGAAAAATATTTATTTATTAATTAAAATGAAATTATGGATTACATTTTTAATAATTAATAATTTATTTTTGTTGCAGTTTGAAAAATTACAAAATTGAATTTTACTATTTGTAAAAATTAAAATTGTTGAAATAACAAGGAAATTGTGCATCCTGGATAGATATCAAGGTATCGCAGAATTTTTTATCGTTCAAAAATTTAGAAGGGAAGAATTTGAACATGAACAAGAAATAACCATAGAAGATGAGAAAATATGTATGTACCTGGCTATGTATCGAGTTTTACACTATACTGGCTCGAATGTACTTGCACCTGAGCCAATTTGCACATCAAGAATTTATGGCTTCCTTGCTAATGAAAGGCTCGCAACACATTTTCTCTTGGAGGAATCAAAAAATAAGAAGGAAGAAGATGTAATAAAGGATTTTACATTTTAATCGAACAATATGTAAGTACAATATCGCATAGTTTTAAAAGAAATATCATTCTTTCTATTCTGATATTAAAATCTAATATCCAACATCACAAAAGTCTTTTATCCAATAATTAATTTTTTATCCATAATCAATAATATCTTCCACTTTATATTCGCTCAAATTTCTCTTCAAATTTTTATTGAAAAATAGAAATGATAAAACGGCCGAAATAATTTTCCATATTCATTCTAATTTCCAAAGCACGCATTAAAGCATAGAGAAACGAATAAACGAAGCAACATTTGATCGAAAGAACGCACGAAATTAAAGCAATTTTCCTCTCTTCGACTTGGAAATATCTCTAACACTTCTAACTTATGTCCTAGTGTGACATCTTGGGATCGTCTCGAAATGTATTCACCCTTGGCTTCGTGTGCGTCCACGTCGAGACGAAAAGTCTGCGAATAAACCCTCCAACGTCCGGCTAGGATTTGAGAATATTTTTATCGGGTCTGGTTCTCTTTTTTTTTTCTTTCTTTCTTTCTTTTTTCAGATTTTTTTTCGTTTTCTTTTTTTTCCATTGGCCAACAGCTGGGAATCGGGGCACACGTGCTAGCAACGACGCGAGACTGTTCCACTGGCAGAGTTGGTCGAGGACAATCACCAGGATGTACGTATGTCAAACATATCGTTCACTTTCTTCCTCGAAATGCGAGTGAAGTGGAAAAGTAAAAAGAATGAGAAACTTGGTTCGAATATTCTTTCCAACAATCCTTTTGTTTTCCAAAGTCCACTTCGAATTTCATTTGAAAACTTTAAGCGACGAAGTTTGACAGATTTATTATTATTGACTATTGGATATAGTAATCGAAAAAAAGTTAGTATAATTTTTTGATTTACATTGAATATTTCATTATTAGAAAGTGAATGTTAAATGTTAATTTTATTTGATTGAACTTTTGTTTTTCGTTACAAATTTTGTTTTATAATATTTGTTTTTTTTTTATATTATTCGTTATATATTGCTCGAGTCTTTAAAGAACGACAAGTTGCACAACTTTTATATACTAAATCCTATCCTGCTCCTTCGTTTATTATTAAATGAACAACGAATCTTGTAATCTTCTTTCTATAGTTGCTTCTTTTCGATTCTTTTGACCATTTCATCTCGTTATTTGTATTATTATTATTATTTTATTCTTGGTATTACGTAAAAGACATTTTGAATGAAAGAGAAAAAAAAAGATATAAGACGTTTCAATTTCACTTTTAATCAAAATAAACTAATCAAACTCGAATAATCTATAACTAATAATTTACTAAAATAAAACGTTCGCAATACGCTTAACCCATTTACATCCATTAGATTGAAAGATCATTGTACAATGCAAACGTTTCTAAAAGTATATACCCATATACTGGAACGCATACAAATATTTAGCTTTACATTATCAGATATTCATAATATTCGGCGGAATATTCGGAATGCTAATTTTCTGCTGTTTATCTTATCATTAAATGCCAGCCTGGGCCGGGCACGGTCTCGTTAAACCAGATAAAATGTTTAGGTTATAGGCACAATGATTATTTCGCATATTTTGACGCGTTGCGTCTGCCCCGGGCGATAACCACGCGTACGTGGTTAACCGCATTGTACGATTAAAATTGCAACCGATTAAGCGTATTATAAAGTAGGGGCGGTTTGTGCATACGGATTGTCGCCTCGGCTGAAACGTAATCGGGGTAAAGGTTAACCTACCGTGACAATTACGTTGCCCGGATTCGGGATTGGGTAGTTGGCTTTTGTAAATCGCGTCGATTTTTTAGGGGCGGCTCGTTAATTAAACGAACCGTGGAAACAAATTATTGGATTCTATCTTTAATTTTGACTGCTGTCAAGTCAAGTGGAAGTTAAAAAAGAAAAGAAAAAAAGGAAACAAGTATCGCAATTTCTATCGTGAATAATCTTTCGCTTTTCATAAGCTTCGTGTAGCAAGAGTTGGGCGTTAATTACCTGATAAAAAAGTAAGTAATTAAAAATTTTCGAATAAAATTACTTTAAAGTAATTACTCCAATAAGAATAACGTTTATTCGCTTTTCATATAATCTCATGGCCGTTTTACAATTATTTCCGATTATTATTATTATGTTTTGAACAATGAATCATCGAAGTGACCTTATTAACTTCAATTATAATATTAAATTTTCTCCATCCTCTGATGATAATACGTATTAACAATGGACGATTTTAATAACTTTTATTGCATCATTCTTTGAAAAAAGAATATTGTTCTAATAAATTTATTATTAATATCCTGACAATTCTCCTAATTTAAAAAAATTAACAGCAATTGTTTGTCTTTCACTGCATTTTCTAACCTCTACTCTAATAATGTTTCAGGCGGGAGTCGTCAGCTAGATGGCGTCACTAACGAGTTCACGCGATTCCCGTATCACAACCATATATATATATATATATACCAACAATTTGCCCAAAAATAACCACGAGGCGAGAAATCTAAAAACCGAGGCGAACGAATCGCGCGTAAACACGATCTCATCATCGGCAAGCAGATTCCCGGAAACAGATCTGCAAACACACACCGTTTCATGTCCGATCATATCTCACAATTCCCCACGTATGCTCTGCCCACCACCACCATCACCAACAGCAGCTACAGGCAGTTGCGCATAATTGGGAATCGATGAGAGAGAATGCAACCGGTCGTGAAACGAACGAACCGCGAGGATGAGCGGGTAAAGTGGGTGGGTTGGGTGGATGACAATGCAAAAGAGACGAAGAGAGAGAGAGAGAGAGGGGGGGGATCGCTTAGATTTAAGTGACATCGAGCACCGCACAATGGTGCTGATTGCCGAAATTAGCTGGCGCAGCCTCTGGCAACGGGCGACACGGCTCACGAGGCTCGTTGCAGAGATGGTGGTGGTTAGGAGATGGAGAGAAAGAAGAGAGTTGGAGAGAGCGGAGTGGAAAAGAGAAGGATCGATGGGAGAGGAACGGGAGATGCAGGTGGAGCGAGCGAGACAAACAGATTTGTAGGACGAAGTTCCGCGTGGTTGGTATGGATTACGGAGACAATTGCGACTTCCTCTCTGCAACGCAGACGTTACGTGTTTGCTGCGAGCAACGTCCCAGAGCTCTTTAAAAATCGGCTCGATTTTTCAAACTGGCGAGGTATGGATCATTTCTTCCTTTGTTTTTCGTTCGGTAAATAACAGTTACTGTCGATGAATTTTGGCATGGTAGACTTGGAGATTTATTTGAACAAATTTTGCATTACAATTTCAATGTTGGATTTTTAATTTTTTAGGAGGGAAGGAACGTGATATGAACGAAGTTGGATCATTTCTTACTTTGTTTTTCGTTAAATAATAATTACTGTCGGTGAATGATGCCAAATGAATTTTGGCATGGTAGACTTGAAGATTTGAACAAATTTTGCATTACAATTTGAATGTAGAAAGGATTTTTAATTTTTTAGGAGGGAAGCAACGTAATATGAACGAAGTAAGGGATATTATATATTAGATTCTAAAATTTAGAAGAATATACAAAAAAAAGTCAACGTTATTGATTAAAATTAAATCTTCATGAATCTCAACCAATACATTGAATCGTATGATGCATAATAATTAAATTTTATCACACGAAAGGCTATTTTTTATTATATATTATTTTACAATACGTCAGAGAGTATTTAAACACGCCAACTTGTCAAATCCAAAAATATACTCTTTTTAAAAATATATGAAATAAATCCACATAAATCACATTTCGTAAAAAAAAAAAAAAAAAAAAAACTACCATAATGTTACGAAAACCGATATTTTTTAAAAGATATCAAAAATATTATTCAATACCAAAAACCATATATATATATATAGGAAGATAATATGAGGCTGACAATTTTTTATATTTTTATATCCTCTTCTCTAAAAACTAACAATATGACAGATCACGCGATACATTCATCGTTCCATCAACTCACCCATTCTACTCTACATAAATATCATAAAAAAAATAATTAAACATACATAATCACGTTTCTATTTAAAACCACTACTACTTTTAACGAGACGAACTCGTGCATTTCGAAACCAGTCAATTCGACTTATAATTCCATTCATTCTCTCTCGAGAGAGAAATCGAATAGACGCAAGCAAGTTAACTACGAAGCCTCGAAGGTGTCTAGGGCACTTCCAAAGGATCGCAATGTTTTTAAGGTCCCTGTCTGTCGAGTGGGGGTGCGCCTCGTGAACGTGATGTCACGCCTGTGAAAACTCCTTCGTAAATTCTTTTACCCCTTTCGAGTCGAGCTTTATGGCGCAATCACGTAGCACTGGCACAGGAGAAGAAGACTAAAGGGCGAGAAAAAGAGGTGGCGAAGGGACACCCCTTTTGGAAGGACCAGGACAGGACAGAAATTCCCTGGTGGTAAATTGAATTACGGTAAAGTTTTCCTTTCCTTCGAACGTGACTGATCTATCGCGAAATTCGTTTGACGAATTTTCTGATTTAGAACGAGGAATTGCCCATTGGAGGAATTGCTATCCTCCTTTCGATTACTTGTGTATAACAGAAGAGAATATTTCCAAAAATATATATTTCTGCATATACTTTTTCTTATAATTATATTGCTATTGTATAATTAATAAACTGTATAATATTTTTGTTTGTAGAAAAATGAAAAGAAAGAAATTCACTTTAAAAATATAGTTTGTTGACAATTTAAAGAAATATGAAAATATTATGTTCTCGATACAAGTTTAAAAGTAACACGTACAAGGAAACGATAAACGTTTAACGAAGAAGAATTCACACAAGGAAAGAAGATTAAGCAGAATGAGAAGGGGGAGGGGGGGGGGGGGGAGAATGGATAGAGGATCCTTGAAAGAAATGGACTGAGGTGTATAAAAATTTTCTGCGTTGGTAGTCGGGGGTGCAAACACGGTCGAGGAGGAAAGGGGTTGAAGACAAACAGGTGCGCAGACATATGCATAATTCTAATTGCCTGCATACTTTTCTAACTAACCGTGCAGAAGGCACGTTCACTTGAACTTACAAACAAGTACGGGCTCCGCATTGTGCACGGTTTGTCCTTACTCCTCGTTCGTTAGTCCACGGTTGTGCACGTTTACTTAATTATAATTATGTTCCCCGCAGTTGCTTTGATTCACACGTGACTTCCGTGGCAAAGGAATTATTGCATATCCATATATAAAATTAGGGAATAATAAATAGAACTGTTAAACTTTTTCCTAAAATTGTGCGAAGAAGAGAATATATGGAATTTATTTATAAAAGTTTGAAATAAGATTAATCCAGATTTTCACATTTTTCACATAAATTTTCTTTTTTTTTTTTTTTTTTTTTTTTCTATATAATCTATCATTTACGTAAATTTTATTTTGAATATCGATATTTGATGCATTAACATTGATTTATAGTTTTATTAGTTCGTATAATTCAGGAGACAGAAAGATAGGATCACACGTTGGGCCGATGAACGGATATTGCTGGCGAGATTTATTCGATCAACGAAATTCGCATCCATTTTACAGCACACGTCGGCTATTATTTGGAACAGTGTGTGTCTCTTCCGGTGTTCGCAACACTGTGTGCGCAGCTATAAAACGCAATCATGTGTGTAGGGACGCGTGCACATCGGCTCAACTTCTGTACATACGGATTATTTCATTTAACAGTGGAACTCACCGGTCTATAATAAAGTTAGACATATTAAACTCGATTAGAATTAAAGTGGATAGAAAATTGGAAAAGTAGCTCGGAAATTGAGCCAGAGTTTAATTCCTCGTTTGTCCAAAATTACCCAAATTAAACTTCAAACTCTAAGAATCTAAGAATCGTGATTGAAATTTGCGTACGATAAAATAACAACAAACAAACAAAAGAGAAATATATTATTTGAATATAGCGAAGAAATATCATTCCGAAACGAGAAGAAAATGTATGTAACAATTCCATCCGGATAATAAAACCCGCGTGTGACGAGTGATAAATTATTCAATGCGCCCGTTGTGCAAAGCATTTTAACGAAAACTGTATTAAACCGCGGGAAGACGACTCGATTGTACGCCACGCGATAACGTGAGAACCCGGCATAAGGTACCGTCCACGCATCTGATATATACGTTCCCCGCAACGTGGCGGGAACTCGACCTATAAATATTCGGCTTTATCCATTTCTCACGCGAACGTAGTGGAGAGGTATCCCCCTGCCCTAGAATATCGATAACGTTATCGTGGCTGCGTGTGGATAAATTATAATTGGCCAGCGGAACGGCCAGGTACCAATTAACCTAAGAACAAGTTAAGAGATGCGAAAGTATCTCGCGGAGATAAGGAACGGAATGCTTGTCCCGTTGCACCTCTCCTGGGGACTAATTAGGGAGGATGGGTGGGGCACGCTTATCGGAAAGCATTAAACGCTAATTAGAGGGATTATAAGTAATTATGAGAACGATTAATTAGCTGGCAATTTATCAGAAATGACTTCTTCGCGCGAAATCTTCCGAGTAATTGAACATTCGTGATCTCGTTCTCCAACTTCTTCTTCTCTAGTCAAGTTTCTATCTCTCGAAGTGCTTATAGGTGTTTTAATTTAAGTTATTTATTATTTATTTCGTAATATTTTGTTGCATTTTTAAATCGTACTTGATGAATCAATATATGAAATATGAAATCAAATTGTTGGTTTCTTGGGGTTTAAGGGGTGGAGACTAAAAGCATCTCATTCAATATATCGTTTGACTAATAAAGCATATATTAGGTTAAATTTTAAATTCGAAGCAAGAAATAGATCGATATTTGCACATTGCTCATTTTATTAATTTTATTATCAGATAAATATTAAACAAATACCCAATTAATAATAAATGCAATGCGCAAATATTTTTTTGAAACCATATCCTTTTTGCAAGATATTCAACAATCCTTTTCGTTGCTTTCGTCAGATAAATCAAATAAAAGCAAGGAAATTCAAATCTCCAAAGAAAGATCACTGGGAAAATCCATTATAACTCGAGATCTCAGCAGTTTCCAAAGATCCCTGGAAGAGATCTCGCGTCGAAGAGAAGGTATAAAAAGGGAGTCGAGTGCAATTGGCCAAACAGACTGTCGAGAAATGAACACGTCAGTGTCGCAAGAAGGGATTTTCTTTCTGGCATACAAAGTAGCCAAGAGGATGCCAGCCAGCATCGCCAGAGAGAGAGAGAGAAAGAGTTACACGAGAGAAGACCTTCCTAACCAACGTGCTTCCTTTTCATCCATGTAACCCTGGTGAGGGTTGATTCTCCACTCTTTCCTCCCTTCCCTCATCCCCGCTATCACGAGTTGGGACACTCGCCAACCTACACTCTACACCGAATACGAATGATCTTGACAAATTAGGTCGCCCCTAAAGGGATTCTCCCCTCTGTCCACGGCAAAACGTGCCCTCCTGCGACGGGAGGAGGCCTGACTCTTAAGGTTCTCTGCATCGATTTCTCGCGTGACTCGAATCCTCCACCCCTTTTCGCGAATTTTTTTTCGAATTAGCGTACGCATTAGGTGTTACGAAACGTTGTTAAAGTAAAATGGAAGGAAAAGAGAGAAAAAAGAGAGAGAGAGAGAGAGAAGGAATGAATGAAAACGCTTCTGGGATTTGAAATGATTTTAAATTTTAAATTCTCACGGCTCTCGAGATGGATGCGGCGTTGGATTAAAGTTAGGGATGGAGTGGTGGTATGCGTGGTATTAAAGGTGAAATAATGTCCCTTCTCCAAGTTAATGGAACTTTGTTATTATTTTCCTTTCTGCCGATTCATTTTCGAAATTTTATTTTAGGAGATAGAATCTCTTCTCGAATTGAAATATTTAAGAAGATAAATAGAAGAATTTTGGATTTATTTAACGACGAATTCCATTTCTTCAAACGACTTGAAGGAACAATGTATATGGAATGGTGTGTTTGTACACGTAATTTGCACAGCTAGGAGAATATCGTTCGCGAACGATCGATTAATTCTAACCACGTACACTGCAACTAACTCTTCTCCCGAGCATCGTTGAATTCTGATGCACGCTTAACCGAATAATTATTCGGTTAATCGGTATTATCATCGAACTGTTTATCGGTTTGCGCGATACGGTCAACCGACTAGGGAACTGTCAAA